TTTTTCAAAATCGATGTACAAAATGTCTTAAATAAACGGGCGGGTTAAGGCCTACTTTTTTCTTTTTGTATTGTGCACGGATTTAGAAAGTTAGAAGCCTTTTCTATGCTCCGTATAATTACGAAAGTCCAGAGAAATCACAGAGACCCGTCTAGGTCAACTGTCCTGGAAATAGAGAGTTGTAAGGTCAGCGCGCAAAACCCCACACGTTATAAAGAGGAAAAACAAGATCGGTTATTCTTCTTTGGTAACATTATGAACTTCCTTCACACTATCTGCAATCAGCCTCATCCATTTTATCCTTAATATGTTGCTGCCGTCTGTTGAAACGATTTTTTTTACAAAATCTTTAATTTGAGAAATTATTCTGTGTCCATCATTTGAGACATGTATTTATCATACCTAGTGTTTCATTATGTAACCCACTCCTCAGACAAGGGCTTCAGTCTGATTTTTCAACAACTCAGCACTTCATTGACCGACCACTTAATTAATCAATTAAGTAGGCGATCAAACGTGTGGGTAGCCCCTGTGCGCTGGGGAAATCCAAACCCAGTTCGGGTTTCGACTGCCGTGCGTTCGTTCTGTCTCGGTATTTCTCATTTTCAGACGAAAGGGGCTCGCAAGTTGCTCCGCCGAGGTGTAACATATTTCCGAGATGTTCAGAACTAAATCTTTAAGGTACAAAACATCCACGTACAGTCTCGGTTGCGCTGACTCACGTGGTGTGTTCCCCTGGTGCGGACAGGCGGGAGACGGGAGAGCTCCGAGCCCAGCACGGCACTGAGCGCCAGACGACATCAACTGGACAAGACTGAACCATGGGTCGTAAAAAACAGAGATGCAATCGTGAATGTCTGACCCTGGGGAGAGCTGAGCCAAAGGTCCTGAATTGCCAGTGTTGTTCCCATTTAGTTTTTTTCCAGTCCCTAGTATCATTAGTCTGAAAACAACAATCATAGTGCAAAATAATGTAAAACAACTTATTTTGTGATTTTGGCTCATCTCACTAATTCTAAACCTGGAGTATACTTTGTGAGAGTAAGACTGGAGTATATTTTACTCAAAAAACCCGAGTA